GACATTACCAATATTTCAATGTTTCAATAACCGACCCAAGTTAAACATCTGCCGTGTAATTATATCTCCCAGTATAATATACTGTCCCGAAGACCTGCTCTTGTTCAATATTGTATCTTATCGGTTTGTTAATGTTGACAACCTTTAAAGTTATATATTTTTAACATTCCAAAACCTCTGGACGTTTCGACGTGTTTGTAATTGCCCAATAGAAGAGTAATGCTGATTATGATGATTTACTTGAGGTCGCGGACAAACTAAAGAAATCTTTGATGGTTGATAAAGCAAGGTGGTCTTATAAACAGGACATAAACTACTTTGACTAAATCGCAACGATTTTTATTTAACACAATGCACTGTCCATATTACGAGGAAGACAACATTTTAGAGAGAGAGAGAGAGAAACTGGTCTTTGTCCTCCAAGTGATCTAGGAGCGAAAAGGTCAAACTAGAAGTTTTGTGTGTTTGTGTTTTTTTTATTTTTTAATTAATTAATTTTTTTTTTGATACATACGGACTGTAAGAATGCTTGCACTTTGTCACATTGTCGCTTGAGCTGTACACTCTGAAAGTCTACGAGATGAATTTGATTATTAGCGATAGACATCAGCATATTCTTATGATTATGTTGGCCGTTGCCTTCGTAGATGTAATAAAATAGTCTACAATTTTGCCAAACTTCTATCCACATAAACAGTCCTGGAGTTTTATCTTCCTGAACAATAAAACTCAATCAAACGTCGCTAATGTATATGCACGAAGTTTGACCCTCTAACTTTTCATTGTTTTACGATCGTGTATAGGACTGTAATTAGTTGAAAATGAACAGTTCATTAAAATAGGTAAAACAGTTATAATGCTGTAGATTGACAGGTGTCATGAAAATAGGTCAATCGTCCTCATTATGATGTTGACAGTGACTTCTTGGCAAATAATAAAGAGATACCAAAGATAGACTTGTCTGTGCAGAAACCTTTTTAAATTATACATTTGCCATGAAGGACAATGCTTCTACATCTGGTGCAGGAAATAACAGTTTTTTTCTGTTTAGGTCCTCCTAAAATAGGGTGGGTTTATTTTCATTTAAAAAAAAACATGAAGTGGCATATTTTTACGATTCCATTCTTGGATATTTGAAGAGATAGCAAAATTAATATATTTCAGTTTGTAATGTTCTGATTATTATAAAAGTGTCCTCTTGGGACTCTAATTTTTTTTGGGAAAATATAACCAAAAACTTTGTAATGTATACTTTAATGTACATTTCCACCAAGTTAAGATCAAAGTGGTGGATATCCGGTGGTGTTATATGGTACCAACTCGAAGTTTTTTGCGGTTTAAGGAGGTGAGGTCTATTTCTGCGATTACCAGAATGCGTTGGTCAAGTACCGGTGGTGTTGACCTTGTGTATATATAGTAACTTCTCGTACCAATCATGTATACCTGTGCACTGAGCTTGCGTTTATTGAGGTGGTTTAAGACGTGTACTTTAGTCACAGGATGTATTGCTTGAATAAAAGGCAGTAAAAAAATAATATCCTATTGTGAATTTTATACAAGTTTAATAATGGCCTGTTTCGAAAATAATAATAGGCTCAGAATGTAAGCCTTTTATCATAAGGATTCATCGGTTATGATTGGCCCTGACATTTTGACTATTGTTCATAACCATCAAATCCGCTAGGCTTATTGCACCCCAAAGTGAGTTATGTGACACAGTGTATAGATCTTTCTTGATAAGAGTAGTCTGAAACGGAAAGCATTGGCGAAGGTAGATGAAAACGCGATAACAATTCTTAAAGGAGAAGGAAAATTGCTGTAGTCTTGTTTATATTAATTTGTGCAGAAGTGGCAGGTAATTTATCTCGGGCTTCATCTCAATAAAAGATAAAGGGCTGAAGCCTGAACCTTGAGTGTGTCCTTTATTCCAGCGAAAAGCCCCACAAAAGATTTTTGGTCAACGATAAATTTAAAAGGGAATCGATAGATAAAGTGCATAAAGCGTTGTTTGCAGATAGGAAAATGAGTTCTGACAGGTTCAAATGTCAAGAAAAAATATATTTACTTGATTTTTGAGTGGCAGTTTGAATAAGCGCGTTAGTATGGGTTCTGACTTTGGCTATATGTAGCTGTTTGTTTTGTTTTGTTTTTTAATAAAGTAAATTTTGTTCATTAAGAATATATAATAAAATTATAATTAATTATGTTTTCATGAAAATGCCAGGAATGTTTTCTTTAACAGTAGGGTACACTGAAGAGTAACAATAGCATGCTGATATTTATCCGAGATGAATTCATACTCCTTGTAAAGAACATACAGTTACTAATCTGCTCTAGTTCAATATGTGTTCACGCCTTTTTTAGAAATAATACTATAAGGAAAAGGTGCCATTTCCACAGATGTAAACCGGGGATATATTTTTTATAAAACCATTTTCATTCACTAAACTCACTTTTCTCAATAGACTTTCTACCTCAATCCCAATTAATTGTTTTTCTTTTTCATTCTACTCATATTTTAGTCGCCAATCACTCGGATGACCGGTTGCTCTTCTAATTCGTCGAAAAAGTGAAATTCTTTCAAAATGCTACTACACAATGCAGTTTTGTTTCGCGTTCAGTTAGTCTTAGTACACAAGTAGACTACATCAAAATACATATATATGTTTGTTTTTTTTTTCTTTTTTGATTTTGTCGAATGGTGTTGCCATGATTACTAAAGATAAAAAAAGATATTGTGTAATTATTTTAAAAACCTACTCCTAGCTCCCACAGATTGGTTCGATTTCAAAGAACTTGACACACAATAAGACTACATGTACACTAAGATTCATACTCGTTTTTTTTTGTTTGTTTGTTTTGTTTTTGTTTCTTTAAATCCCTTTGAGAATTTTCACTCACATTGGGACGTACACCACCAGTTTCAAATTTAGACCTGTACTCGGTACTTACGGCCATTGAGCAGTGAGGGATCTTTTTCATGCCATGAATTATTGCGACACAGAAGTCTCATCCGAAGGACTGATATCCATGTCGCACAGAGGAGTATAATTATAAACGTATAAGGATCAAATCCTTACTTCGCGACTCTAACTAGAACTGTACTGCGGCTACATTCGTATGCAAATGCGACTTCATAGACAAATACTTTCAATCTTAGTGAGATTTCTGCAAATTGTGGAGATTTTACATAAAGTATACTTTAATGTTAGATAAAATATCAAAGAAACCCCCCGAACCCCCATCTATGGGAGAGGGACACACCCTCCCATGCCCTCCCCCTTCGGTCCTACGGGTCTCAATCCCCCCCCCCCCTCCCCATGAACTTATGCATCCGCCATGCACTGCATGTATAATGCATAGGTGTCAAATTAAACCCTGTGTTAAAGAAAATCGACTGTTTTCTTAACCCCATTTAAATTTTGTTATAATTGAGATTTAAATTTTCACCTTCATATTTATCGCTCCATAGGCATTTCACTCGCCTTGTTCGCCCATTTTCTTTACGAGTTTTATTTTTATTGAAGAAACAGTTTTCTATGATGTGAAAAAGGCTGCTCTTTAATTTATCGTGAAGAATGGTTGTATAAAGTGTTGAAAAGTCATATGTTTTAATACTATAGATTTTTGAAAAGATTGTGATTTTATATCAGTTTTGAATTTTGGTGAACAATGTTGCAGTGGTTCCTAAATAGATAACAATGTTTGGAATTCTTTCAAAACGCTATACTCCTGAAAAGTTCTGGTTTGTTTTCAATAAAACTTTATACAGAAATATATAGATTAAACCAAGGCTCTCCTACTTGAATTTATTTGTGTTGCCTACAAGTTTAATTTTATTTCAACAAAACACAAGTTTAGAAAACATTAAGATACGCAATTCTGTAAATATAAAACAAAGAAAGTTGGGTTTCAAATTCAGGTGACATTTTTCTCCTCAGTTAACAAACCAGTAAAGCTACTGTCTCGTCAGAGACCTCTAGTGTAGAAGTAGATAAATTAAATTTGTCCTCTTTATATGAAGTAATATGTAATTGAACTTATTTTTATTCCTGATTTGTATAGTGTGTCCTAAGGACCTTTCCCGACACTGCCTGGGCACATTATGATCTGACATTTTTCAGAATCTTGTACAGGGGTTGATTGCAGCACAAAGCATGCACCCAGCGTCACGTAAACTAGGATTTAACACGAGACACAACGTATAGTATTTATATCTTGTTAAATAAATGACTACTTTCTACAAATATTTAAAGTTAAGAAAATGTTTTATACCTTGTCTTTCTTTTTTCTCTCTTTCTTTTCTTCTGCAAACATCACTATTCACTATTATACGTAATATGAGTTCGCCATACACTGATGTATATTTTATCAAATTATCATTGAAAATAATTGAATGTTAGAGTACAGTAATTAACTACAACATTTTCTTGGACCGAGGTGTCTTATATAAGCGGACATGTCTTAAGCACAGATGATACAAACAAACTTTTATAAAAAATCTTGAAAATAACAATTTAAGTCATGTTTATATGAGTAAAATGAATAAGTTTAACCGCAAAGATTTTAATTTTTCATTCAAAGTTTCACAATAATGGGATTTAAAGTGGCAGAAAGTTATTTATATTAATAAGGATGAGTGCAGAAAGGTAGAATTTTGAACATCATATATATTAGTGTATAATTTATTAATACAGTATTATATGAATTTATTAACCATTTGCATCATACACAACCAAAATAACTCCAAAAAATTAATTGTGCTGAAATGTCTTGTATACTTTTACATAGATGGATTCTTTAATCTAGGGTTTTATTTGAAATTTAGTCATAAAAATTCAAGTGTCTGTGCATTATAGTACATAACTTGTTAAATTGATAGTTAGACAGAAACTGCATATTTTGAATACCACGTGGGTTTGTTTACATCGTAGACACGGAAAAAGCCAGGGAGCGCTTAATAAGTACTTCGCGTTGATTGGTCAAAACTCCAAGACCGTAAACAAAGATGGCGGTCCTTGGTAAGCCAAACTATGTGACCTGTACATGTTACGAGTTGGGACACACATGGACACCTTCTTGTTTCCATGCATCAGCAGATGTAGCATTTATAGTTTTCAAACAAGCTCTTAAAATATATGGGACTCTTTATACGGTATGGAAAACATTTATTCTAAGCCAAAATATACTGTTCAAGTTCGACTTTGGACTTTTTCTATTTCATTTGAGATTGAAAATGTAAGTTTTTGGGATACAGCGATTACAGTACCATGATACAAGGTCTAATAACAACAAAATAATTTTGGAAGCACATAGAAACGAACATACATTAAAGCTGTCAGATTATTAGCACTACCACACTGCTCTGTGTATTTAGCCAGAATTTACTCAGTCAAATCACACATCTCAAACATAAACATTCTTTAATACACATCATGATACCTGGCAACAAAATCAGTTTATAATTTATAAACACGATTTTGTTGCCAGGCATCATGAATGTGTTGTTATATGTGTCACTTCATTGTGTTTAAATACCATTAAAATCATATCGTTTGGCTGGTCATATATAGGCAAAGGAATTTAGGGGAAAAAAAATGTTTTTTTTTCATTTGCCTATGTATGACTAGCCATACAATATGAATAATTCATCCACATTATTTATTAACAGTCCTGAACAAGAAATGACCATGATAGTGGTATGAAATCCAGGGTTTCAGATTAAAATAAGCAACTATATGACAACTGACATATTAACCAGAAAAGTTATAGGCCATTCTGTCCTAGACCTCCTAAAATTATAGACCAAGTAATAGTTAGAATAATGTAACTGTGTCTCGGGACAGGTCTGGTCCATAGGACATTTATCATTTTAAGGACAGAACACTCTATCTATAGCCAACTAATAGTCAAAAATATACAATTCTTTCACCACGTAATTAAATGAAGTCAAGTAAATAACTTTAGAAATAAAATACCGAACAAGTGAAACTCAATCATATTTTTTTTTATTTCGGAAAAATTGCCTTTTTTACATTTTAAAGTCGTGTTTTTATCAGATTCTCAATAAGGCCTTTACATACAGAATTTAATCGGTCATTTCATCTGTTCAGTGTTAAACTTATAGGCCATTTCGGCAGTTAAATTTTATTTTTCTTCGGCCATTTTGAATTTTTATCGACAAATGGCCAATGGCTGATGTCAATCTGAAACCCTGGATACCTGTGCTAAGAAAAACAAAAACATTTTATCATTGGATTTTTGCTGTTTTTGTTTACACTGGGAGGACTAAGATATCCCATACTCAGTCAAGAATTTTTCATGTTTGTAAAGGAAGCCATGATAGGTCTTACTTTCAGATTGAACAGAGGTACTACACTGTACACTGTCTTTCGCGAAAAGGCCAAAAGACTTGGTCAATTTGTCTGTCAGAGAAAAAAAAAGTATATACAGACCAAAATATTTCTAGAGAACAATATCTGCTCAAGAAACAGTGATGTTAAGTGTAACAAATTGAATACTTTGCACAATGGTCATGTTGTTTATTGCCTCAAAGTAATTCAGCTCACACAACTCTGTTTAGAACCAGCACAATTGCTTGTAATTGATGGCATTTAAAAAAGTAACATTCCTTTGTATTCCTGGCAGCTAATTGTAAATTAAGGTACTAGAACAAAATGTTTTTTTAAAAGAATATCCATTGTTTTATGATATAATATTTTGTCCTTAGTTGATAAATAATACATGATACAACCAATCATTAGTCCCCATACAAACTGATTATAGAACCTGGTCATTAAAGAAGTATAATCATTATAGATATTTTAGATCTGCCCATTAACCCCCTCCCCTCCCAATATTAATTAAAAAATAAATGGCTCTCCTAGCTGCTTTGAAAAAAAAGACAGTTATCATTTTGGCCTATTAATTAGAATTGTTTTCTGTTAAATGTTAACTAAGCCATGGTTGTCAACAATCTTAAGTCTAGTTTTGCTGTTAATCTTCACAACGAGTAAAGGTTAGTACAGTGAAACTTGTCTAATCCAAATGTCGTGTATTCTGAAATCTTTCCTAATACGATATCAACTTTAAGTCTCTTTCAGTGAATTCAACTGTTTAAAATGTTGTCTAATCTGGCCAAGTTCTAAAGTCCAAGGGACTAAATAAAAAAGAGGTGAAAATTTCCCTGTGTACATTATTATTGTTATAAGCCAATAGACTGCTTTTAGTTTTGATTTGGTTAAACATGTTTAAAAAAATAGCATTATTTTAGCTCACCTGAGCCAAAGGCCCTCATGAGCATATCTGATCAAAATGTATCCATTGTCTGCCATTTTCACTGGCACTGTCTTAAACTTTTCCAATTTTCATTTTCTTCTCCTCCTCAAGAACCACTTGGCCAATTTAAACCAAACTTGGCTCAAAGTATCCTTGGGTGAAGAGATTCAAGTATGTTCAAATGAAGGGCCACACCTTTTTGTAAAGGGAGATAATCAAGGAAAGACAAAAATCATCTGAAGAACCACTTGGTCAGAAAAGTTGGAACTTATATGAAACCTTCCTGGCACAATGTACATTAAAGTTAGCACAGATTATGGCCCCAGTGGAATGACGGGGCCACAAAAGGGGATAAAAATGACAATAAATAGGAATTTTAAAAAATCTTCTTCTATAGAACACAAGGCCAATATTAGTGATATTATGCAAGCATCCTCTGTTAGTGCAGATTTAAAGTTTATTCAAATAATTGCCTCTCAGGGTAAGTTGAGCCACTAATAGGAGATCAAAGGTTTAATGGGAAATAATATATGGAAAAAAAATGTTTTTAAAATCATCTTGATAAAAACAGCTATGATTATATAGTGTCATGTTTTATGTATGCTTCCCAAGAGAGCACATATTAAAGTTTTACAAATCATGGCCCTTGAGGTAGAGTGGGGTCACAATAGGAGATCAAAGTTAAATACATTGCAATATATAGGAAGTTTAAAAAATCATTTCAGGTGTTTCAGGGCCAAATTAAATCATTAAAATATTCTTACATTATTAAGTTGTGTTTGTGTGTGTTTGTTTGTTTCTTTTAATTCTGGATTGTGGGGTTAAGGTGGGGCTTAAATTGGGATATCAAATTAATTTATGTAATGCATGTATGGAGGGAAAAAGTCTTCTTCCTAACAGCAAGGACATGTTATTGATATTGAAGCATCCCCATTCTATTGTGTGGATTCATGTTTGCCTCTTGGGACTTGAATGAGACAAGAATATGGGGTCAACATTTTTCCTTGAAATAAAAAGGCAAAGAAATCTTTTAAAAACTTTCTTCTGAAGAACAGCAGGGGAAAGGGTGGCTCAGGTAAACAAAGTGGCCCATGGGCCTCTTATTTAAATTATAGTTTATTAAGTAATATTGGAATTGATATTTTTTTTCAGATGATGTATGAGTTTTCAATATTATCTGAGTATTCCAGTTGTAATTACCTGATTTACCTCAAAAGGGTTCAAGTTCCTGCATCTAAGACTGTTCTAAATGAGTGCATTCAAAGATTGAAAATTAATATTTATAGCTGTTTATTTCTATTTGAAAACATTAATATTTTTTTTCATGTAGTCTGGATATTTTTGCTATTTATGAGACCAATTGAAAACTTTATGGCGTGGCATAAAATTGCAGGACGGAAATAAGGATTATCCTTCGTCAATATTTCCAGCATTGCAGCACTGATACCTGAGTGTTGTAAGAGGATAGATTTTATGGCTACCTCTAAACACCTGTACTACTTCACATGAAACTTGTCAATATCATCTGCTACCGATTTACATGTCACGTTTTTTGTGGGTGGAGGGTGAAATGGTGAAGTTTTCATCAAAACTAATCCCACACGAATACCAACGCCTCTGGCCAATAGTTAATCTGTATCCAGCTGTACAGAAATTAGAAACCTGCTTTATTATAGTGAGGTCAAATGTTTACAGAATTATGAATTTTTTATATGTGGTATCAATTGTTAGATGGCATGATTTAAAATCATTAGGTGATAATTTGACTCCTTCATAGGAAGAATTTGGCTTATTATCTAAATTTGATATGAGTTATGTCGTTTAAATTATATATATGAAAGTGTATGTGCTAATGACTCCTTACCCCAATCAGCTGTAAAATTAAGAAAATTGTGTGTAATTAAAGGTGTGTTCTTATAATTTTTCAAGGACACTCATTCACTGGTAGTCTACTGGTTTATTGTATAAAAAATATTTAGAATTTTTTAAAGAACATTTACCTGCTCAACATTGCAGTAATCTTTCAGCTCTCATCTTTTTGTCCCCCACTATAACTGAAATTTGGGGGATATTAATTTGGGTCTGTCTGTCCATCTGTCTGTCATTCCATCTGTGTATAACATTTTTGTTTCCTGATGATATCTCAAAAAGCCTTTGAACTTTTGCAATGAAATTTTATATCATAACTCCCTATGGACTAAAGAAGACCCCTATTGATTCTGAGGTCACTAGGCCGAAGGTCATAAATTCATACATTCTCTGTGTGTGTAACACTTGATTTTGATTTTGAGATGATAAAGTTAAAGGTCAAGGTCAGAAATTTATACCTTCTGTCTGTTTATAAATCTTTCATTTCTTGACTATATCGTAAAAAGCCTTTGAGATTTTGCAATGAAATTCACTATCACCATTCCCTATGGCCTTAAAAAGTTTCCTATTGATTTTGAGGTCAAAGGGTGTTTAAAAGTCAAGGTCAAAAAATTATGTATTGCAAAAAATGCCTTCCAGATGATTAATGTTAGTTCTCTTTGAGGTTTTTCAATTAAGTTATGTATCTTAACTCCAAGTGACTTAAGGAGGACCCTTATTGATTTTTGGGTCCAAAGGTCAAGGTCAGAAATTCATACAAAAGAAAAAATGGTTTCCAGATGATAACTCTAGTTTTCCTTGAAGTTTTTCTATGAAATTTTATATCTTAACTCTGTATGACTTAAAGACTGCCCCTTGTGATTTTTATGTCAGAAGGTCAAGGTGGAAAATTCATCTTAAAAAAAAAAAATTATTTCAAAAATTAATTTTTCATATTTCCTGCTGATCATATATGACCTTAATGTTTTCTTGGCGATAACTCTAGTTCTCTTTGAGGTTTTGCAATGAAATTTTATACTTGTAATGAGTCAATATGACGTAGTCAAGATTCTTATTGATTTTTAGGTTAAAAACCAGGGTCAGAAATTTCAAATTTATTTATTGCATACATAGTTTTCAGATGGTAATTTTAGTTCTCTGTAAGCTTTTGCAACGAATGTCTTTAACCTAAAATAGACCCTATAGGACTTTGAGGCCAATGACTGAAAGGTTAAGGTTGACTTATTTTTCTTTCTTCATCTGCATATTTTTTCAGTTCTTCCATTCTCTTCTTTTTTTTTCTGAATGTGGGGGGCACAAATTCTCTGACATAAATTCCATGCCTCCTTTGGAATAGACAATGCAAGCTGAATAAAATCTTAAGTATGTCCATTGACCATGTTGATATAGATAATTTAAATTAATAAAAAAAAAATTACTGATGTAAAGCCTTTTCAGTTACTTAACAACATTAAGAAGAAATATGTGTATCCCAAACATAAAAAAAAACAGCAAAAAAACCCCTGAAGTTTTCTGTAATGCTGTTTTGTAGGTAGCAGGTATATTGAAGAAGAAGGACCTGAAATATTTCAAGGAGAAGATTCTAAAGGAGATTGCCCAGTCTGTTGCCTTCCTTACCACCAATGGCACATTCTTCATATCATTCTTCTGCATATGGAGGTAAAAAAAGTCACCAAAGGCATTTTACTGTAGTATATTGCTAGCTTTTGACAAATGGTTTTATCATATCACTGAAAAAAATAATTGCTTTATTTGATAGACATTTTACATTCAGGAAATTATTTGTACATGTAACTGACATAGCTTCAATGAAATCAATTAATATCTATAATCTTAAAAAATTATCAAATATTTCCATAACATCATAGAATGTGAGTACCTGTAGCACCAAGTTCTATATTCCAACTTTAAGAAGATAAATCTTAAAAAATTCAAAATTTTTTGAATCTCCAATGATTGTTGATATCTTTCCAGAAAGCTTGCAGGTTTTTACTCCTCGTACTGTACGTTTGCGTGTGGAATTCCAGCATGTGCTTTGTCAATAAGTGTGGAGCGAGCTGACAGGTACTCTGTACAAATCGTGTTGCACCCTGTACTAACAGATTCTGCTCACTGACATTGTCTACCTGTTCAGATTCTACTTTCACTTTCATTTTTTTTTTTACTTCTGGACAGTTTTACAATGACTCTGAACTGAATCTGTCTTAAATGTCTCTTATTTTTTTTATATATTAAATTAGTTTCTCCTCCAAGTATTTTTCACACCTGAGATCTTTCAAGATTGTCAGATTTTCCAATACTTCAAATCAATAAGGAAGAATAGGTGACATCCATTGCTTGCTCTACATATAGTAGATTGTTCCAAGGTTGTAATGGACCTCAAGCACTTTTGTATTCCTTTTCAGTTATGTTGAAATACCTGCACTAGTTTTGAATTAGATTTTGTCAACCTAGAAATAGTGCTTATATTAATTGGTACTAAAGTGTTGATGGTTAAAATTTGTGCTTGTACTTGTTTTGTGCTGATGGCAAAAACTAACTGGATTTGTAAAATTATTAATGATTTTTGAAATACCCTCATTAAGTTAAAGTTCCAAAGAGTTATATGTTGGAAGAAAACATTATGTAGATTAACATAAGACATATGTAGTGTGTCATGTTACGAGAACTTCCAAGTTTCAATTCTTTTCAAACTTATGTTTCCCTGAAAGTTGGTATAAGAGAGTATAGTCAAACTTTGTTGTAGAGAATTTGTTACAGTGAATAGCTAGTTACAACAAAGATTAATTCCCATCTAACAGTTACATGACAGTGCTTTAATTTGATATACTGTGGGTTCTATATAGATATGACAGAATGCTTTAGTGCCCCCCTGGATACATACATATGATACTGTATGTACAAAAACAAGAATATCCAATAGAATCTGTAACATGTATATAATGCATTCCTGAATTGTGGGAAACAGGTAAAGGGGTCATGATTTTGCTAGTACTAGACATTAATCTTAAAAATCTTGGTTTCAAAATAAAATTAATGAATGAACAACAAATTATAAAATCTGTTCAGAGTACAAATTTCTCTCATTTTCCTAGAATTTTAACTTTTTCTTTCCAAAAATAAGAGCTGTCAGGCATTTTGCTTTTATTTTCATAAGTCTGCTTTGATATTGTATACTTTTTGATTTATGCATGTGAAATTGTTTTCTTCCCAAGGGGTTAGTTTATTTTTCAACAATATGCAAATATGTATTTTATTGAGGGGTTTCTAGTAATCTTGGAACTACTGAAGTGCAAATTAGTTGTTGCTTTGCCAGTGTTGTAAAAAACATTGTTTGTCAGTGTTAGGTTAAAAAAAGAGCATTGTTAGCATCCAGGAGTTGATAGCTGTTGATGTAGGCAGTTGAATTCTGTGTTATTTGATGCTCTCCTAAAGGCACACAAAGAAAACCAAAGCCATATTAAAGATTAGGGCCAGGGTGCAACACTCTCTCCCATATACAGTAAACATCTACAGTGACTTTCTTTTTTATTCTCCTTAGGAAGTTATTAGGTCACTTCTATTACCCCACGACGGCATTCATACCGGCCGCCCTGGCCTCTCTAACTGCCATCCTACTTGAAAGGAAGTCCAGGTACGCAAAACGTTACCATGACAACTGAATATTTATATATATGCACATATTGGAATATATAAATATTACTTGTAGTTGAGTCCTTATTGTTCTCTCGGGTTTGCAGTGGATTTGTTGATAGATTAAATGTTTTGTTTTCTTTGTCTTGCATGTTTGGCGTTCGGTTTTCAAGGTGTTCTGTGTAATAATTCTACAGAAGGGGAAACAGTGATAATTCTCTTGTATAGAATTGCATGCTACATTTGTAACTGGTGCTGTTTTAAGTAGACTTTCCCATTATAATGACAGTGATAATGTCCTTGTAAGTTTAACACTAACGAAATAGACAATCAGCTCTAATTAGATTAATACATTTATCTTTCAATCAACATGTCTTTGTGTAAAAAGTTAAAAACAAATGTGTTCCTTTCAAAATTAACATTCATTTAAAAGGGGCTGAAGAAGTTAACATTGAGTTAACATGCAGTCTTGATTCTGAATTTGAGACCTATGAAAAACATATACAGTTGAACTTCGTTATCTTGAAGACTGAAATCTTGAATACCAGGGATATGTAAAAGTGAGTTGGCATTTCACACTATTTTTATGCCCCCCGTATCAAAGATTCGGGGGTATATAGATTTTGCCCTGTCCATTTGTCTGTCTGTCTGTTTGTCTGTTTGCCCGCAAAAACTTTAACCTTGACCATAACTTTTGACTGGTAGGAGCTATGACTTTCATATTTCACATGTGTATTCCTTGTGACAAGACCTTTCTTTGGGTACCATCATATTTTTTGAACAGTTGATGCTTGGGGTTTCAAACTTCACATGTGTATTCCATGTGACAAGACCTTCCTTTGAATACCAACAACTGTGACCTTTTGACCTTGGAGTTTGACCGACTTTTGAAAAACTTTAACCTTGGTTATAACTTTTGAACAGTTGGTGCTAGGGCTTTCGTACTTCACAAATGTAATCCTTGTGACAAGACCTTCCTTTGAATACCAGCAACTTTGACCTTGGACATTGATTTACTTTTGAAAAACTTTAATCTTGGCCATACCTTTTAAACATTTGGTACTACAGCTTTTATACTTCACATATGCATTTCTTGGGATGAGACTTTCCTTTAGATACCAACAATTATAGCCCATTGACCTTGACCTTGGAGTTTGACTTATTTTCAAAAAACTTTAACCTTGACCATAACATGTGAACATTTGGTTCTAGGGCTTTCACATTTCACGAACATGTGTATCACTTTTGACAAGACCCTACCTTGGGGCCCCATTTGACCTTGACGTTTTACTTACTTTTAAAAAACTTTAACCTTCGCCATATCTTTTGAACAGTTGGAGCTAGGGCTTTCAAATTTCACAGGTATATTCCTCGAGACAAGACCTTTCTTTGGGTACCAATATTTTTGATCTCTTGACCTGGAGTTTGACTTGCATTTGAGAAACTTTAACCTTTGCCTTAAGCTGCTATATGGGGTCTTCAGTGTTTCACAAACACATCTTGTTTCTCTCTGTATTTTATCTCCCCTTTTATCTAGAATCCTTAGATATCTCCAAGTTTAATCTTGGTCAAGCTTGAGTTAACAAGGTTTGACTGTACTGTATTCTTTCTTGAGTCTGCTGTAACATTTATATACAGAACCCTCCCCAGTTTCTTATAAACATATCTGTAACTCAGCAGTTTAATGCACAAGAGTATAAATTAAGTGATCTATTCAAATGAATTAAAACATGTATGTATAATTATTTCATTCTTCTTTTTACTGCATGCCTAGCTGATATCATTTATTTATTTCTTTTTTCTCATCATGTTTATTGTTTACATTATCTATTACTACTAATAAAGATGCTTCAGTATATGTACCTGATTATACCATATGTTTTGATATAGACACTATATTTTTCAAACCAAAGAGGGATAATCTCCAAAAACAAAATACCATGCAGTAATTTAAAAAAAAAATCAGATTTAAAAATTCAAGGCAAAATTTAAATTGTACCAATTAGAGCCTATATCTATAGCTTTATATAAAAAAGTTAAGGATATATAATTAAAATTCACTGAGGTATGAAGATCCAAGATCTTTCAATCAATCTGAAAAATTTAATTAATATATTGTATCTGGAAGTGGGCGGGGCATTCATTGAAATTTGGATGGAATTCTAACAATCAAGCAATGGCTTTGTGACCCTTTGTGATTGGTATTTTATATTTTTACCCCGGGTCTGCACCCAGATACCTTATAGTGCTCTCTGACTGCCACTGACATCATTTCATTCAAATATAGAGAAAAAAAAATCCTCGAGATATTAGCTATTCAAAAATACCTAAAAATAATTCTCTATTATCAGGTCTGTTCATATGTAAAAGGCATGTAGATCTTGGCGGAGTTTTTTTTCTCTCCCTAATCTTTACAATTTACATTGATAAAACATTGAATAGGAACTTTGGGTATAGTAATGTATTTACTGAGAACACAATCAGATTTCTATAGAGGTGACACAATGATTTCTCCCCGCATGCATCCGTGCTGACTGACTGCATTTACCTGATGAATAGCGGGCTGGGTGACATCTCAGAATATGACAATACGCCGTCAGTTTTGGCACGCAAAAGGGTTGGACTGCGCTTACAATATGATTATATTCCATGAAATTCATTTTCAAAAAGAAAATTAATTTTCTGGATATGTGACTTCTATCAAAGGGAGAGTAAAGTTGCATATTTTTTAGACAACAGAGGACTTAAAATGGTTGAAAAGAATTTTTTTCTGCGATTAAAAAAAATTAACTGGCTAAAGGACATAAGCAGAGGTTAATTGGGTTTACCTTCTGACTTAAATCTTATCATATTTCAGGTCTCCTAATGTAAGAATTAGGGGACCATGGTTATCGTTTTCAAACAATGCTGAAAGATTAGAAATTAACTTGTATCGGGAGAATGGCACCTAATTAGGTTTTCCCAGAGTTCCTTTGATACACCCTGGTCAAGTCGTATCAAATTATGGGGACCCTTACTGAGGCAAAAAGATTTCTCTGTTCTGATGTTTGATGTGAAAATTAAAAACATCTGATCTTTTTGACTTAGGAAAAACAAGGGCCCCAATTATGATTGCTTTGAAGAAGATAGGTAAACCGACATTTATGTATTTTAAGAGGGAAAAATAGCAAAGTATGAGTGCAAAAATTTCATATAATTTGAGGGTTAGTTTGCTGAAATATTTGTGAAACTTTTTATATCAGATAAGAGGAATTTATAGTTGTTTTTCCAGTCTTCTGTGAGAAATGAACAAATTCACCTCCCATAATATTTCAAGCAAATTTTAAACAAGAATCGTACTTCTGTGCTTCAACAGGCGGAATTGATTTTTCTTGCATTATTAGGATAGAAAGATGTTAAAGCAGTAAACTGATCTTGTCGCAGTAGAGAGTCCGACTAATGCATCCTATTTGTCAACAAGATTCTTATCAAATTTAAATAATTAGGATTCTCGTCAGAATAGTTAGTGTTATAAGAATTAGGTAAGTGCTATGTCATTATCTGTTGGTTCTCGTAATAATGATATTGATCCCCATAAATAGGCTCCGAGCATTTGCGGAGTAGCTATAGGAAGTGACACCATCTATTCCCTTAGATAAATAAAATGCTTTCTGCCTCGTTCACTTCCCTCATGCTATAATTCCGTTTTTATCTCACAGATTTACCCTAATGATTTTTGACAAGTGTCATTATTCATTTCTTCATGTTTTGTTTTTTTGCAAGGATGCGGCTTCCATTCTGGTAATTGTGCCACATGTTCAGATCCCAGCAATATTTCCCATTCTTTCAGGGCCCTTGCAGAATTCCTAATAATTGGACAGAGTTCTTCTCTATTGTGCTATTCAGTACTGAATACGTTTCCCAATTCTTTAACTTATTAATTTTTTTATTTCGAAAAAAGGAATTCAAGAGTTCGTTTATAGATTTTCAGTACCACTTAGAAGATTGACACATGACGAACAAAAGGGTAGATGGCTGACAACCTTTTTCTGGGTGCACAAATTTCTCCCAGCAGGAAATTAAGGTCGCAGAGAGCGACAAAGATTATGTATTTGAAAACTCATTTCATTTTCATAGTGCATAGCTAATCTGTCAATTTTCCCATTTAACTTGAGAGGAAATTGTTTGTATGGATTTTTCTGCAAGTTTTTATCAATGTGAGAATCGACTATTCAATATTGCATAGCGTTGAATACCATTCCCAAACCTAGGATAGCTGAATTTCAATGATTATTTTCTATAAACAAGTTTTTCAATTATTGTGCAATTCATATTTTTTTTAATGGGGATGTCAATTTCTATTGTGTTTCATGGACATTTCAAGGAGAAAGTCTCAACAAGCAAAATCTCACAATAATGGGTCAGTTCTGTCATACTTTTGGACATTTAAGAAGAACCCCTCACATTAATAAAACACCAAAAAGGCGGAGATTTTTACCTCAAGAACAAGAATTAAATAATCTAGCTGTAAACAGAAGCACCGAAGAAAAGATTTTAAAGTTGGTTTAATTTCTCACCCAGCCATAAATTTGTCTGTCAGGCAACTTGATGCTTTTCAGTAAGCTTTTATTGGTTTACGACAGTTAAACGCTCAAAAGCAATAAGATATTATGGGGGACTGCCAGCTTGTTATTTTATACACCTTTTTTGATTACTCTGATAAGGAGGTGATAAAAGTCAGATTTTAAAATCTTGTGGAAGACTTTGAGGGGCCTGGACGCTGACACTGATGAAGACTGGACTGTCAAGTCTCTGTACTCCGTTAATGGAAATTCTAATTACATAATATAGAATTACCCCATCTTCCATACAAAACATGCACCTCAGATTATGGCTTGATGGCTAATAGATAGGATGATGGAATTTGACCTTTCAAGTGGGATAAAAAGAATTATATAGAAAAATGGCAAAATTTGGATTAATTCTATATGCAAGACATAAAATTTTGCATACTATAAATTTTCTGTCCATTTGTCCCAGTGCCCCCCCCCCCCCCCCCAACTACCATACCACCCACAGGCATACACATGCAGTTCCACCATACAGATTTTGCATGCATGGGTTCATAGGTAAAACCTCATTACTTGGTAAAATCTAATTACATTGTATGTACTTCATGGTGTAAAAAACTCAGTTACTTCTTATTAAAAGAGGTAATTCTAAACATTAATTTTTACACAAAAATAATTTAAAAGTCCTTGAATTGGATTATTAGAAGAAAAGGGCCTTGTGACCTATTGTAGCTGTTTCCCCATCCCCAAGATCACAGAAAGGCAAAGGGCACCTGAACATCAGGGGGAGATAAGCAGGTCAGATTACGTAGGGGAGATGATAAACATGACCTGGTATGTGTAGCTGCTTTGATTCGGGGGATGTTAAATGTGTTTATTTTGACAGAAAATCTATCTTTTCTTGTCATGGCCATTTTTATTGCACAACATAACTCATAATTCTGACTTCTTGAAGAATGACTTTTTTTTTGTTTACTTGGGTCTAGCTTCTGCAGCTAGGAGTGGGTAATGCTTCTCTGTCGGTTACAATTAGTGAGATATCTCCAGATAGTATCTTGAGCTATAGCTTCTGGTGTGACCTGGATATTGTCAAGATTGAAGCCTCTCTTGAGTTTCTGATCCCACTAAATGCCTTATGACCTTTTTTATCCTTCTATCTCGATAATTTATGAGGGAGGAAAAAAGATACTTATAATGACACAAAGTAAGAAAATGCTGTAGGGTGTCTTGTGGTTTGAAAATCCAAAGTAAAATCTGAACCATGTATTCTTGTATTTCATGAAGAGGTTTTAGTATTTTAAAATTGATTTAATTTTAAATTTTACTTAATATTTTAAGTAGAAGCTTTAATATTGGTATTATGTAAATGTTAAGTTTTAATACATTTTTCACATTAACTAATCATTCAATTAGTCATATGCATGGACATGCGCTGCATTCATGCATGTAGTTTATAAGAACTACAAAAAAAGGGAATATGACAGGGATCGAAATGAATTTAGCATACGAGTAATTTGGAAGGATACAATAATAGAAAATTATTCATGCCCAGGGCCAATAAATTTATTTATCATCATGACAGTTTTATTTGTGACACTGATTATCATTCGATACTGAATCTTGTCTGAATAATACTCGATGAATTGATTAAAAAATACTGTGGGATCATAAGGGGCAGTAATTAATCCTTCTTTGTAACCTGGGGGCCTTATGTCATCATTGAGGGTGGGAGAAAAGCCGAATATGATTTCCATACTCAAATAGAGGGATCTCCGATGCATGCATTCATTGATGGAAAAAATACATGGACAGGCAAATTAACAATGATATGAATATGAAATTGATTTGAAATAAGATAGCTGCCATGGGACATTATAGATTGTTAATTATAGGAGAGGGGATGTAGTGTTCTCTTGTTTGCATTAATCATTTTTAATGAAAAACAATAAAATTTTATTATCTTTTTCAGGAGAGGTCTTTTGGCGATTTACATGGCAAATGTGGTAAGATACTCCATACGGCAATGTGTCACAATAAATGACAATTAAACCAACAATAGCTGATGTTTTCCAGAGAGTGTAATTTCAGATCTAGTCATTTGCTGGTTCAATATTTCTGGAAATGCATATAATTCTAACACAATGATTGCTTGATTTTAAATGAGAATGACAGTTTTTGAATACACATGGTATGAACAGAGAATTATGCAGTAAAAAAGATTAGGCATCTTTTCTACAGGGAATATTTACTTTTGCAAAGTCATTCATACATTGATTATGGAATGAATTTTTCATGAAACTCAGTATGTGCGAAATTAACACATATAATCTGAAATGAGTAAAGTTTTATGAGCATCAAAAGTTCCTTGATCCACTGTGGAGGCCATTTTTCTTTTGATTTTAAGAGATTATGAAAGCTGGCATCATGCAGATGTGATTTTTTATGAAAAAAAAATTGTAAGCTGATTGACAGGATGTTGTTATTTTGTATTCACTGATGCACGGCAATAAGCTGGTGGTGCTCAGTGAAGCGTGACATTTGACTGCTGATGAGGCTTTGTGACTGCCATCCTGGCAATTTCTGCAGTAAATGCCAAGTGGAATTAACCTCTTAGCCGATGCTGGGCCGATTCAATATCCCGCCGTGTGTCGCATTGTTGGCCCAGGGTTTTCAAGTACGCAAATCTGGCAAAAATTATCTCTTTTAATTCCACCATTCGGCTTCTGCTGTGAAACAAGTAGACCACAAAAAATAACAACTCACTTTCAAAAACAGCAATGAGTTATGAACTGAAAACACTGACCCAGAATGTACATTATGAATTGAGTTACATGTATGGTTTTTGTAGTGTCTGGTACCTTTATAGTTTGTTTGTATGGCAGTTGGCAGTTATATTTGTCATTAGGACATCTAGTCCAGCAATTGTACAGATGAACAGATTTTTTGCAACCATTTTATTTTTGTTCGTTTCTATCCATTGAAGACACTGTTTATGTAGTAAAGATTTTCTTAGTCAGTGTAGGTAACTGTGATATAAAAAGTTTGAAATGACCATTGATCAATTGCAAAACAGTCATGGCAAATTTTAAATTATTCAGATGAATTTTTGAATTATATCCAGTTACAGATAGTTATGTCCAAATAAAGTCTGTGCATTAAAAAGATTTTGAATTAATTTAGATTCATTAAATCATTTTAAATCTGTTGTGGCAGGGTTGATACTAGGGGTTGCATTTAAAAGTTAATCCCTAGGAAGTTTTTTAGTTTCAGTCGATGTGTTTTTTTCTTCCTGAAATTTATACATTTATGTGAGTGCGAATCTTTCTGTAGTTTTTGGTTGACTTAACAAGTCGAGTGCACATTGAGATGGAATGTGAAATGAGCGTTTGTCATTTCCCATTCAAGAAGAAGAGAAGCAGAAGATAAAATGTAATCCCATAAAAGCTTCCATTGGAAGCAAACGTCAAAGTCCCGCTGTCAACTAATACATCTATGCCCATGATTAATGGCTTATATAATTCATTACGCATTGATGAATGAATTGTAAAATTAGAAAATGAGATAATATGCCCCGCAAACTATCGTAGTCACCTTGCTGTGTGATGTTCTGCCTTAAGATCATGATAATGAACTTGCAGAACTATTGTATTAGAGTCATACTCTTAAGCAAAATATACTTGATTAATTAATTCTTTTTGCACATCAAAAATAAAACTTTAGTATCATATTTACATGTGTATACTATTTCTAATATGCAGAATATGCATCATTTTTTTATCTTTTGAGGTAAAATATTATGCAAAAAGAAATGCACGTTACTTTCTTATGAAGATACAAAATTGATAGTGTAAATAGCCGGGGTTCATGCAGAAATTCAAGAAATAAGAACTCTTTGTTAATTTATTGAATTGAATGTGCTTTCCAAATTTTTAAAGAACTTTTTTTCTGATTTTAGGCGACAGAAACTGCTTACAGAATGATGCTATCACGTGGTTGGATGAAACCAGTCAAGCATGGAGAGGTGAGTCATACTGCTCGAACCCACGTTACGTGTTTGGATTACGTCACAAATCTCTAATGACAAAACGTGGCTGACAGATGGGTGAGGGATAATTTAAAATCGTTGATGAATGGTTATTGTCTTGCCAGTGCGGGGATCAGATCTGGTGAATCCGAATTATCTGATGTTGTTTAGAGCGAGGGAGAACTAACTAGGAATTTTACTGTCGTCCTTTATATTGTAATGGTGACACAATGTCTAGAGAAATTGGAAAATTTCTCTGGCATTTATGCGAAATATTTTTGGGAAAAGCAGATTACTGTGTATAGGGTATTGATTTTTCTTACTAATCATAAAGCGTGTAATTGTTCATTTGATTTATGTGCAAATTGAGTTAGAAATAATTTGTTGGTTTAGAACAGTATTTGCTATAACATATCTAAAGATAATGGAACATTCTCATTTGTCTTTATTTGACGTAAATTTGATGAAATAACTGAAAAAGTGCTTGGTACTCGTAGGACATGCAATAGATTTTTTTTTGGTTTGTGGTTTTTGATACTTGTTCTTTGTTAATTATCCTGTGATGTTTGGTAAAATGGTCCATATGCCAATATGAAAGCTGATCACTTATTTTAAAAGCTATATTTATATACAATAAAGCCAAATAATAATTATAAACACATTACTGGGGAGAAGAGGGGGGGGGGTTAAAAAGAGTTATTCAATGAATAATGGTTTTGTTTCTGGGATCTTTCAGAATATACCCGATACATAGAGCAAAACATATGGTCATTTGTATAAATGAAGAAGGCATTTATGCAAGCATTGTCAGTTGAATTTTGATACCCATAGACCCCAAAATGCTAATCTTTACATTTTTTGCATAATATTTAAATCAATGTTAATAAATTAAATATAGTCTAAACTTTGTTATCTCAAACTCCAATATCTGGAATACCAATGTTTTCTTTACATAATTTACCCTCAGTATCTCAAAATCCTCAGATATCTCTCAGTTTTTTTTTTAGTCCCATGGAGTTCGAAATATCGAGGTGTGACAGTGTAATTATATCTAGTAATGATATTAAAAATAAATAGATTAAATACAATAATATTCTTATGATTTCCTAAAATTTTATTTATGTTCCATGCAAGCCCTTGCTGTCAATAACACATCTTGACCAAATTTTCAAGCTAAGCTTGGCCTTTTATTCTGTAAGGGAACATGTGACTGAATTAGGTAATACCTTATGAACACAAGGGATAAGAACATTTTTGAAATTTTTTTTCATGATAAAAAAAAAAATAGTAATAAATGTAAATATTACTGTAGATCTCCAAATTTTCACGACACTTTATTTTCATGAGAATGTCACTTACTCTTTATTAGAGTCCTGAGATTAAATTTTGACAAATTTTGGTTATTGCTCTCTATAATCATTAAGAATGCAATTATATGCAAGAATGAATTTTTTGCGAGCAGACTAATTTTGAGAAAATAGAGTTCTTGTGAATAAAAATTTTTATGACTTATATATTGGAGGGAGGGGGGGGGGTATAAAATTGCATACTGGAAAAAAAAGAAGCATGTGAAACTGTGATACTTGGACATTCATAGCATGCAGCTGAAGTGAAAAATGCATTTGATAAAGAGCTTAGAAATTTATGATTATTTTGGAATACAATACAGTTATATATTTATTATAGCTGACATTCTCATCTCCTTGTATCATTTAGTCTGTCATAAACAATCAAGTTCAAATGCAGTCTCAGATGGAATTCAGGGGAAAAATAGCTATTTTCTCTGTCAGGAAAGACAAATGTTTTGAAGGAGACATATTTAAAAAAGAATTCCAAAATCTGGGAGTTTTGCACATCTCAGTGATTTAAGATGCTCCTTGGGAGGTTTAAAACATCTGAAAATAAATGAAACTGATTACGGTTGGCAATATGACCATATAGAATGCCTTCCTTCTTTTAGTGGTATATCTGGTGTTAATTCTTGAATTTAATATTAATTTTAAATCTTAAATCATGATTTATTGGATTTCCTTATTTAAATGAAAATAATATAAATATGAAGTATTGATAAGGAAAAGAGAGAAAAAAGAGGAAATAATTTTTTTTTTATTTCAGTCATTTTTTTTATTGGAAGAATACTGAATGTGTACTTAAAAAATTTGGCTTCATAATTTTAGCAGCTTTGAGGCAGAGAACAATGCACTAATTAATAAATATCGCTAAAAAATCATTTATAAATACAATACACTGTGCAGACATGTGTAGCACTAATTTATGGTTATGCCAACTCCATACCCAATGATTAAATAAATTTTAAATATGCCAGTTTATCTACTTGTATGGTAAGTATGAGTTAAGTTAGCAAACATTGAGTGTGATCCAATAGCAGCCTATGCTACTAGTTTAGAATTATGAAAATTTATGATAATTTTTCTGAATTGTAATCAATGTAAACATAATGCTCATGCTCCCAAATGTGGTGGTAATTAATCATTGGGCAGAAATCAATGTGTATTGGACAGGTGTGTTAAATTTATCATGACATTAACTGTATGCTATTCATCATAACTGCCCTGTGTCTGTAAGTCTGGTGCACATAGCTGACAACACACTGGGGGGCTAAAATTTACCCACATCTGTGACTTTAGGATTGTCCACAGTGCTATAGTCAGATGGATACCGGACAGTGGACAAATGGATTTGTTGAATTTCAAATAATTGAAAAGTACTCTAATAGTATATTTTTTTGGCATCTTTTAGCAGAGTTATCTGCCCTTAAGGTCTCATGGTTCATTGTAACTGATCAAAGTCTCCCCATCGCATCAATTTAGGATGATTTTAATGGGAGATTAATATCAGCTTTTATTTTCATTATTTTCCATTTATTTAGATTGTGTAATAATTTTGAGTACTGCGAGAAATTGGTAGTACGCTAACAGCTAAAGAAACCAGAAAACAAAACAATATAAAAATATAGCTACCAGGGATTCTATGTAATTAGTGAGACTTTTATCATGCATGATCAGTTTTGATAACCGTCTACCTATTTGTCATTCTTTGATCTCGCAATTTTCAGAGATGTAGGAGAAAATGTAGTAGAAGACATTGCTTACGGAAAAATAAGACACTTCCGACAGCATCGGAGCAGAAATTCTAACAACTTACGTCTTTAATAACTGGGTGCTTTTAATTTCAGTAATTGTTATTAGTTAACGAATCTGATTGTGCGGGATTGCTAGGATAGCATAAAAAGTATGGGTACTTTTTTTTTTTTTTTTTCAAAATGTTCATTGCAAATTTGACTGCAACATAATGGCCTAGGTTGAATAACTCTTGCCTTTCTGTTACATGATATGACAAAACATGATACTTTGTAAAACTTGCATGTGCCAAAGAGTGGCAAAATTGCGATGGAGAGAAAATTTACCTTGACCTTGGGTCAGGGTCATGATGTATCATAAAGTAGATTTACCCCGGTACATATATTTATACCAAATGACCTTGATTCGGGGGCTTGATGACCTACATTTTCAACAAGTTTAAGCCTCTAACATTTCAATATTACAACAATAGTTTATATTCTCTGAATTTGTGACAAATGACATTTGCTCAAGGTCATGGCATATCATTTTCTTTTCATAAACATTAACATGACACTTTTCCTAGAGCTAAACAATAGGCAGTTCAGCTAAGTCTCTGAATTGTATTAGAACTGGTTCCCTGAGTACGCTGTGTTTTGTACACTTTTTATTGGAGCTATCTCTGAAATTCTTGAGGTTTATTTATCTGATCAAAGTCTCCCCAGTCTCAGCATTTATATTGATTTCAATTTTTACTTTGGTTTGCTTTGTATTTTCCTGTTTGTGATGATAAAGGAAACTATGATAAATATTTAGTTAGTAAGCTGTGAATGGAAAATCAGCCAAATTTGGAAAGATGGTGGGTTTATAAATAGCAAATTAAAGTGAGTTTTCATACCAAAAAAGAAGTTGAAAATTTGACTTATCTATCATTTAAAGTGAATAACAGCTTAACTGTACATTTTTAAAAGAACTGTTTCTAACAGCATCATTAGGTATTTTGTCTATTGGACTATTCTAACTGTTGGTAAAAGAATACACTTTAATGTAATTTAACCAATGAAAATTATTAATAAATCTGTCTATGAAAATATCTGAATGTTTATTCCAGTTTTTTTGCTATTAGACACATTCCAGCAAGCAATTAGTATCCAAATAATTTTCTTATATCTCAAGTATCTTATATTTTGTTATGAATCAAAATAAGGAAGCAGGCATGTTGTGGTTATCTGCAATCCTGATAACATTCCTGGATTCATTTCCATCACATTCCAATGCCAATCACAACAGATAGACAAACAAACAGGGTGTCCTTAAATGCATGGACAGATGTGATGAACTAGTATATGGAGATAGATAAGAGCTGTCTTATCTTGTTAATCACTGCTGGCTGGAGATGCTGGCTCTGGCTTGTTATGTCCCATTATCACATAAAAAACCCACAGCAACAGATCCCTGAGAGGAACTAGGGACCATGTCAAAGTGAAACATTTGAAGACTATTGTTTCTGCAGTAACTGATAACATCTTTTTTCCTTTTTGGGGGGTGGGGTGGGGAGGGTGTCTAATTTGACTGAAGACTTTTGTCTTTTTCTTTACCCCTTCCGATCAATAATTCTTCAACCAAATAACATTTTGCTTATTTAAAAAAAATGACAAAAATATATAAAACAAATCAAAATCATGCAAGAGTAACTTGTGGTAATGAAAATAATGTTTACATTAAAACATGAATATCATTTGAATTGATGAAGTTGTGGTTGACTACTAGTATTAGTTTGAATAGTTGAATGTTGGAAGGCATTTGTATGTAAGAAGACAGGAGTCACAATTGAGTGTTTTTGAGAGACTCCCTGAAATATCTTGTGATCTGGTATCTTTTTGACAGGAAATGAGTTCTGTTTGTCTGTCAGTGGCT